CAAGGAAGGACGCTGTGGTGAGTGTTCTCAGAGCCAAATGCGTTCGGTAGAGGGTGGTCCTTTTTTCCTATGGTTATAAAGTTCTGTTTTTCATATTAAAATGTCCTGTTTTTCCCCCCTATCTTCACTGAGGTGTACTCGGCACACGATTACATGTACCCATCTCCAGTATACAGTCTGAGTTTAACCAGCACTGCGATCAAGACTCAGAACACAGCCCGGCCGCGTGGCCCAGCAGGTGAGCATCGACCTAGGACCCAGGAGATCACGGTTCGAGTCCGGGTCAGGGCACGTGCCCAGGTTGTGGGCTCGATCCCCTGCAGGGGGCGCACAGGAGGCAGCCGAGCAATCACTCTCCTCACTGTTGTTTCTATCTCACCCTCTCCCTTCCTCTCTCTGAAATCAATAAAATATATTAAAAGAAAAAAAAAAGACACAGAATACCTCCATCACCCCAGAAGCTCCCTGGCCCCCATCTCTTCCACCAGCACCAGCTCCCGGCCCCAGGAAAACCCTGTTTGCCTTCCGCCATCAGTATCGCATTCCCTGGACTTTATCATGAACTTCAGAAGAGCAGAGCAGAGTTGGAATAACACAATGAACACCCAGAGTCAGCACCGAGGTTCCACAGTGAACGCGGCTGCCGGTGCGCATCCGCCTCGATTGCTTTTTCCCTTTGAACCATTTGAAGTGAACTGCAGACAGCAAGACACTTGACCCACGAATATTCCAGAGTTCAGCTGCTAAGCAGCAGGACTCGGTGTCCCTCCTTCTAGAAAATAAAGATGATAGTAGACGGTAGCTTAGGGACAAACATCCTTACTCGGCCGAAATGAAAGCTGCCGGCCTGCCCTGGCCGGGTAGCTCGGTTGCTTGGAGCGTGGTCCCACGCACCAAAAGGTTGCGGGCTCAACCCTCGGTCAGGTCATGTATGGGAAGCAACCGACCCGTGTTTCTCTCTCCCCCTTTCTCGCTCTAAAAACCAATAAGCATATCCTCAGACGCGGGTGTAAAAAGCTCCCGTCCTTTTACAATTCTTTCACTCGTCTGTGAACTCAGTCTGGGCACACGCGCTCCAGCAATACTCGCATCTCTGGGGTCGGCGCCCCGGGAGACGGGCTGACGTGCCCCCGTCCCCGCTCCCGCGCCAGCCCCAGCCCCGGCCTGTGGGGGTGGTGGGATGTTCGGCTAAGCAGCTTACAGGCTCTGGGTCGGGTTACTGTCTCGGGCTCACCCGGGCACCTGCCGGAGGAAAACGGGTCGCCTGGCTGAACAGTGGTTTCCAGGTGGGAAGCGGGAAGACCTGCTGTTCCCTGGGTACGCGCCCACGTGCTTCTCCGAGGCTGTCAGGCATCTCAGCAGCAACCACGTGCGTGGCAGAGTCGGTGCTCAGAGCGTGTGTTTAGAGGATTTGAAGCTGTAAAAAACAAACGGCTCGGACACAGTGGGTCACAGCGAGTGGGAAGCAACAGAAAGGGAGAGCAGTCCAAAACAGAACGAATAAGCCGCGGGAAGGGTAGCCTGCTTTGCAGAAGTGATGTTCTGTACCTGTGTGTCTGTACTTGGTCACAAGGTAAAACATGTTTTTTTGCTTTTTATTATTTTTAAGTGTATTGAGTTGAAAATCACATAACAAAATTAACCATTTTAAAGGGAAGAACTGGCCAGTCAGGTATAGCTCAGCGGTTGAGCATAGACCTAGGGTCCAGGAGATCGTGGTTCGATTCCCGGTCAGGGCACATGCCCAGGTTGCGGGCTCAATCTCCAGTCGAGGGGCGTGCAGGAGGCAGCCGATCAATGACTCTCATCATCGATGTTTCTATCTCTCTCCCTCTCCCTTATTCTCTCTGAAATCAATAATGATGTATTTTTAAAAAGTAAAAGGGAAGAATTCAGCAGCATTTAGTGCATTCACAGTATCACACAACCACCATCTCTATTTAGTGCCACAAAAAAAAGGGTATTTCTTGAACTGAATTAGTGTCAGTTTTTTTTCAAACATTTTGGATCTACAGCAGTTCAACGACCCGAAGAAAAGCATGAGCCCTTGTCTTAGCTCTGGCTGCCATTTAGACTGACTTGTGGTAACAACAAAAGTTTTATTCCTTACACTTCTGGAGGCTGGAAGTCTGAGATCAAGGTGCCTGCACCTTAGGTTTCATTCTGAGGCCTCTTGGCTTGTAGGTTGCTGCCATTGTGTTGTGTGTTCACATGACTTCTTTGTGCACATGGAGAGTGGAGAGAATGTCTCTTAATAAGGACACTAATCCTATTAGATCAGGGCCCCACCCTCATGACATTCAGCCTTAGTTGCCTCCCAAAGGCCCCATCTCCAAATGCCATCACACTGGTGGTTAGGACTTCGACCCGTGAATTTTGCAGGAGACAAGAACATCAGATCATAACAGGCCTCTCCTACAAAAGACATCTGCCTAATGTTGCCAACCTCAGAAGTAAGCAACTCAATTTGCGTTCGACTCTAAATTCTTGTGTGGTAGCAACTTCATTACCACGGAAGCCCCTCCACTGCGCATGTGGTGTAGCCCGAAGTGAAGAATCACCTGAAGCAGATGTCAGCCTCACCTCAGAGAGGGCAAGGGAAGTCTGGATTAGGACCTTCTGCCTCCACTCTGCACAGCACTTTGTCTCCCCCCCCCCACCCTGCAAGGCAGGTTGTGGGTCCCTCTTCCGCAAGTGAACAAAAGGAAATGGCAGTGAGGCCCAGCTCCTCTCTCAAGATCACAGTGCATTCATCAGTGAGCCTCAGATCCCAGGACTCCAGGCTGGGGCTGTTGGTACAACACGCTCCTGTTGCCGGGAGACCCGGAGCACCACGTGCCATTCTCGGCACGATGCCTTGAGACAGACATTTGGAATCTGTCCTGGGGTAGGAACCCAGGGTGGCGAGAGGGTTTCAGTGCCCACAAGAAATGAGAAAGCCAGAGCTCCCGGAGATGAGAATCAATGTTGCTAAGGCGAGGCAGGTTAAGAACCACTTTCTGGAGTAGCCTGAGCTTTTACTGGCATGTACAACAGAGCCTGTTTTTTCACAGAATCTATGCAAATACCTATTTCACTGTACTCAAGATTTCTGAAGCTTATTAGCTTGAATATGTGGGCTTCCTCGTGTGACTGGGACATGAGAAAGATGCAGTGGAGTGGAGGCATTATTAGGGCCTACTCCCCCCCAGCCCCAACCATCCCGATAAGAGGCACTTCAGCACCACGTCTCACTGTGGGCCTAGAGGGCCAGGCAGGTCTGAGGATGCCCACCCCCACCACCTAGAGGACTCAGGATCTAGGATGGCTTCTCACTTAACTGTGAAACTGTCCCCTAGTAGTAAAATGGACACAATTCAGATCTTCCAGAATTTGAGAGCCACAGCCTCCTCATATCCAAGGCATCTTATAAAAACAGAAATGCCTGGTTTCTGTAGCCCAGCAGCCTTGCATGAGGTGCTTATCATGGCCACTCTCCTCTCCTGATGCACCACAGGTGACGAGCTTCAAGTCCACACTTAAAAATGCCCAGTCCCCCAAGACCACAGCTGTAAAGACAGGCAACTCTGCACACCTTGGCACACTCCGGAACCTGGAACTTTCCTACCCACACATTGTAGGGCTCAGGCTGGCCCCTCGTTTCCCTGTGTCCACACAAACTCCCTGTGCACCATGATGTGGAGATCAGAGGGGCTTCAGAAGACTCATAAGATAAAGGCTACTGTGTGCAGTCTGCTTTAATAAAACATCAAGCTTGCCTGGCCAGCGTGGCTCAGCGGTTGAGCATCAATCAATGATCCCGGAGACCATGGTACGATTCCCAGTCAGGGCACATGCCCGGGTTGCAGGCTCCATTCCCAGTCGGGGGCGTGCAGGAGGCAGCCGATCAATGACTCTCTCTTCATTGATGTTTCTCTCTCTCCTCCCTTCTTCCCTCTATAATCAACAAAGACATAGTTTTAAAAAAATAAATAAAGCATCGAACTTGATTTATTACACTATTTTGGGAAATAACCTAGGCAGTAGTTCATTAAAAAGGTGTTTCTAAATTCTCACCTTCTGACACGTTAATGTCTGCACCAAAGATGAGGAGGCTGACAAGGGAGCACACTAGCTATCACCACCAGGGCACCTAGGAAATTAGAAAAGCTCCTTTGCCCGTCTCCCACCCCCGACGGAACCAGCAGCACAGGATGACCTCACAGGCAGGAGGGTGAGGACTGAGCTGGATGGAAGCCACACTCCACTGCGGCGAGTCCACGCCATCAGCTTAACCTTGGCTGTTAGGTGAAGCTTCAGTGTGGATGGACCTCAAACTGAAATATCTTTGTTAAAAGCAGAGGGGGCAGAGATGCTCCCCTCCAGGTTCACAGAAAATGGGCCAATCGAAGGCCACTCCAACACTGACTTTGGATCTCCTTTAAGAATGACTCTCTCAAAATCGTCTTGCGAAGGGCTCCTCCAGCTTTCTGGAGAGTGCCGGCTGCCTCTGGGACTTCACATTCTGATGGAGCCTTGACTCAAGGTGCTGGGCTGAGCAGACGTGTGGCCAATCCCTCGGTAAACACAGCATGGTAATGGACCTTTCGGGGGGTTCTGGAGAGATCCTAATTGTTACTGCACAAGGCTGCTTGCCAGGTATCTGAGCTGCCATGAACAAGTCACTGTGCCCCCTCAACAAAGAGGAAGCCTGGAGGCCGGGAGACCAGCCGAGTTCATGCTTAATCCTGTGGACAGTCCCTGCTGCCCACGGGGCCCACTGTAGGAGTAACAGTCGAGCACGGGGCTCTCAGAATACAACTCCTCAAACTCTGATTTAGGATTTCCAAGTGGAGGGAAAATGGAATGCTGGCATTTATGGGCAGTGATAACCTGGGCTTAAATGAACAAGGAAGGCACCAGGAAAAGTATCACCATTACTTACACACGAACAAGTATCAGGAAAACAGAGGCCTTCCCCCCTTAGGGATCAAAATAAAAGGCTCACCAAGAGACACGAGTTTGAAAAGTAGGTAAGATTCCTTGTTTATTTACAATCAAGTTCTGCTGGGCAACACAGTTAAATAAATAAAAGATGTGCCCCAGCCTGTGAGTTTCAACTCCCCTCAACTCGAGCTCTCTGAAGGGCTAACAGAAAAGGGGAGACAGGGCGCAGCGGGGGAGCCCCACCCCTCAGGAGGAAAGGGAGCCCTCACCCCTGCCAGGCTCCGGCTTGCACCCACAGCTGTCCAGAGAGCAAGCATGGGAGGAAACAAATAAAGTGCAAATTAGAAAGTGATAAAAATATTGGTGCTTCAGTCACTTGAGGAACCAAAATTTTACACACAGGTAAAAGGAGAAAGATAAATGCTATAAAAAAATGCCCCAGGCCAGTTTTCCCTGGCCTTGCTCACAGCTCCTGAAATGGAAGGTGACAGTCATTCCCGCCTCCTGGAACGGGCTTCCCGCCTCCAGCACCAAGAGGCACTGCATGTGGGCCCTGCGCGTGGGCTTGGCACAGGGGTGGTGACCCAGAGACACCCTGAACTGCCCTCGTCCCTTGTCCCGCAGCTGTACTCCAGGACTGTGGCGTGCACCCACTTTCTGGGAAGGGGCGGAGAGGTCCAGGGAGACACCCACTCCCACAGCACAGACCCTTCTCTGGAAAAAGGATTCTGCACTTCCTTTCAAAAAAATATCTTTTGACCAAGTTGAGATTTACGTTTTGACCAAGAAATATGTAGAATCAGGAGCTTTGAAGAATGGTTGCTTTTCAAGAACAGTTTAGGGACCTAAGAAAATTCCAACCGTAATCAGAGGAGAGCAGAGTAAGAGCTTCGGGATAATGATACGAACTAGCAAGGAGACCACAGTCGCATGTCTCCCGGGAGACCGGAGCAGTCCCCGGGGGCTACCTGAGGACAGGGGTAATTCTGTTTGGGTTTCTGTTAAGACAATGATTAAAGCAAGTTCACTGGGAAAATGACGCCAGGCGACAGGACAAGCATAGGGCCAGAACTGACTCTGGAGGAGGGAGAAAGCAGAAGGAGACACCCCCATGTGGGGTGCTGTTGGCACTGCTGTGCAGTGAGGAGCTGAGCCACCTGCCCCCTGAGGTATGGAAGGTCAGAGCTAGTAGTGTTTCCCACAGAGTGGAGGCCGAGACCCACATCTGCTGAGTGGCTGCAGCGGCAGGTCCTTTTCAGTGTCATTACTCCAGGGCACTAGAGACCACAGCCCTGACCCTCAGAAGTCCTGTCCAAAGAAAGCCACCTGGCCCGCGCTCTTCTCTGGAGGTCAGAGCTCACCCATGCGCCACCTGCCAGGCAGAGCTGCAGCCTGAGTGCTTCTTAGCTTCAGACCTGCTCCCACCTAAGAAGGCGCCGTCAGTATTCCGACCACAGCACAGCTTTGCTTCCCTTGTCCACACTGACCACGTGGGAGCCGGAGGGGGACCATGCCACCGCATTGATGGACGAGCTTCAAAGGGAGAGGTGGGAACATCTGTGAGATGTTAGCGAACTCAGCACCAGGCTTCCTCACGTTTGGGGCTCAGGCTTTTCCACAGCCTGTGTCACTCACCAGGCTGCTCCTGCTCACAGGCAGGCGTTTAGTAAAGAGCAGAGAAGGGAGGAGCCTTACACTGTGTTAGGATGCAGTTTGGGAATGACAGGAGGTGGGCTTGATCAAGTTCGCCCTAAGGGAACAGCTCTGTATGGATAGAGAGGGACAGGACAACTGACGGGGAGAAGCGCGCCACTGCTTGAGGCAGAGGTGGTTGTGGAGGAAACTGGGTCTGTGTTACCCAACAGCTGGGCTTGGGTGGACGGAGCAAAGCAAAGAAAAAAAGGAGCCTAGGGGAAGTTAAGAGTGTTTCTACAGCCTTTTCTCCAACAGCCACTACTCCATAATATAAATAAACCAGTGCAGCACGCTGCCTGCTGTGCTGTGACTGGCCAGCTTCTCCCCCACAGCCCAGCTCCCCACAGAGCTCCCCACACTGCCCTCACAGGGCCAACTCAAGTCCATGCCTGGAGCAGGATCCCTGGGATAAGTCACAGCGCCCACTCACAACCTCAGAGGGGCTCATGGGGGTCATCTTACCTATGATGCTTTGAAAGAATCTTCTCCACTTTCCCGGAGAGCACACTCCAGACATAGAGAGAGCCCTCGGCTGAGCCTGCTGCCACATAGCTGCCATCCGGGCTGCAGAACACAGAAGACAAGAAGTGGTGTCAACCTCCCACACCCGGCTTAGCGTTCAAATGGACCTCCTCCCAACAAGTGATGTTTACTCTTCATTTACGAGTCAAACACAGGACGGTCCTGTACACTCAGAGATCAGAACATGCCATCCATGACTGTTATGACCAAAGCTGCTTCACCCTGTTACCATGGCCCCGCCTATCCAATGAAGAATGGTGCCACCACATTACTTCTTGGGGCCACAAGTCCCTAACTCTCTCTCAGACCCAAACTCAGCTCACAGAAAGATCAAGTCACCCCGAATGGCAGAGGGTTTCTTCTGGCTGACGGGCTGCCTGGTCACATGGCTCAGTGAAGGCAGGAAAGAGGGGGGGAGCATGAACTGTGCCAAAACTTCTCCACGGTGCTAGAACTATGCAGTGCTAGAACTGCTGGCTGTGCTGTGTATCTGGGAGATGCCCGCCCATGGAGGCAGGGAGAACCAGGCAGGGAAACTGCCCTCCTCCAAAGAGCCCACTGGCTCTGTACCGAGGGACTTTCCCTCCCACCCTTACCTAAAGGCTCTTCTGTAAATGCATAGAGAGGGGAACCTGCTGTACCCAGAACGAACCAACTAGCCAACCATGGTATTTCAGTACAATTACAAAGGAACACAAGGAGGGAAGGACAGTGGTAGTGACCTCTAGCACTGAACTTACAGGTTTGCTCCAGGACACTTGGGATGAGACACTAGATAAATCTGACTCACTTTCCTGACTGGAAAACACCTATGTCTAACCTTTGCAATAAACCAAGCTGGGGGATGAGACAGGGCAGGAGGAGCATCACCACCAACCTGAACACAACTCTCGTCCAGTCAGAGCCGCACTTGAACCCAGGCGCGCTGAAACAAACGAGAGGGCACGGTCACTCGAGAGCTCGCAGCGCTCAGCCTGAGAACAGGGTCGGGGCCTCTGGTCCTCATGTAATCTTCAGGAAACCCAAACCCGCGTGGCTTCAGTTACCTAAATGTCTGTCTGACAGCATTTATTCGGAGATCAATAATTTTTAGCAGGTCGTCACGGGAGCAGCTTAGGAGTTCAGTCCTTTCAGGGTTTAAGTCCAGGGCCGTGATCTTCCCCAACAGCTCCATCTCCCGGACAATAGTCTCTGACCTACCAAAGAAATGGAGAGTCTGAGAAAATGTGCCACAGAAATGTCAGGCTTTCCCATCTGAACTGGGATGTCAAGCCATGGAGATGAGAAGGGAGAAAGGCAAGTCAACCAGAATGCAAAGCCCTTCTAGGGCAGCAAATCTGCTCCCAGCCTTATAAAAATACCCGCACTGCTGCTTTTATCATCTTTCCGTCAACAGACTCTATGGTGATCATTTGAGTTCTAGAACTCTAAATCGGTAAGGATTCTTTTCCCTGCCCATTTCTGAAATGATATGATAATTGCTCATCAGAATTCTGATCAGCATGCGCCAATCAGGGCTCCCATCCAAATATGGAGAAATGTGTGCTTTCTCACAGGATTTCCATCACACTAAGTTCAGCCCAAGGACGCCCCCCAATTCCCTGGATGCCAGACGTGAAACTGGGAGGTGTGGGCCCTTCTGCAGGCATTTTGTTGTAAGTGATCAAGGAAATGATTTCCTATCACAAACCATAAGTAAGGAAGAGAGTTGACCTTAGTGTTGGCCAGAGGCAAGCCACTCCACTTCTTTGGGACACAGAGTCTTCATCTGTCTAGGGGATGGACCAGGAAACTTCAAACATCCAGTTTCACTCTCAAAATCCATGGTTCAGGTTTAAAAAAGCTAACCGAAGGTCAGCAATAAAAGTTGAAGTGGTGTTTAGGAGCCACGAGCTTCACTCCAGACCTTTCAAAGTCTCATCTATAACCACAGCTCTTCACTCCCCACTCTGTCCACAACTGCTTGGCAACTGGGCTTCTGCCCCAGCTGCCCTCCACTCAATCGATCACCAACTACATCCTAACCAACCAGCCTCATCTGACGGCACTCCTCCTGCTGCCTGACTCTGTTACTCCCTCAGCCTTGTCCCATCCACAGGACTCCCTGGCTTTCCTGCCCTTTCTGGTTCCTCCTCCTCAGGAGGCTCCCTAAATGCTGTCCTCTTACTGCTTTTGTGTGTCTGAGTAATCTGTTCTTACATCTTCAAAGTCTCCCCTGAGGACTTCCAACCTCTCTAAAAAATGCTGCTTGTTTTTCCAAATGTCTATTAAACACGACAAACTAATGCCCTAATCTCAACACACTCTTTGCACCCTCTTCCTAAATCTGTCATTTATTCTGTCTTGCTTTAATTTTCTCTTCCTCACCCTCCACATCCAACTTGTCACCAAGTCCTGCCCGAATTCTTGCTCAAGTGGATTCCTGTCCCCCACCCGACACCTCCCTCCACTACATGGAGTTCAGATCCTCATCAACTCTATTATTTCCCTCTAAAATTGCCACCCATGTAATCCACTAGACTCCAGAAGCAATCCTTTGCTGAACACTCAATGGCTTCTAAGATCAAGTCTTTTCCAAAACGGCATATAAAGCCAACCATGTCAGTCCCACCTGCCCATGCCCATTTTAGCGACCAGGTTAACCTGCTACTCTGGTCTAGAATGTCTCTCGGGGGCTTTTCTGCAACACGAAGCTTGCCCTCCTCTCAAGATGAGTCTTGTAGCATTCTCCAACATTCCTGTACAAAGGGCTGGCTCTGTCTACTCAGCACTTAGGGCACACCTGTGTCTGTCCCACCTCTTTCATTTACTCCCCCCCGCCCCCAGGGGTTCATCTCTGCTTATCCAGCAGCGAGTCAGGTGCCTGTAAGTGCATAGGGCATATCTGTGGTTGTTGACCACAGCTGTCCACTTCACAGTAAAGAATAGCAAACTGTTAAAATGAATGTGGACTAGAGCTTATCTCCACATTTCCAGGGATTTAGAAACACGACCCACATACAAATCATCACAGTTCTAGAACGTACAGACCCTCCACGTGCCTCCCCACTGAGCGAGCTCCTGGGTATTATACCGGATGTCCCAGAAACGAATTTTCTTGTCAAAATGTCCACTCATTACACACTGCTCTGTGCAGACAATATCGTTGCAGCTGGATCCCGCAAACACTGTCTTTATACCTGAAAGAAAGCCGAACATAAGTCATGGAGCAGAGGCCCCTCCATGGCTGTGCACACAACCTCACCACCCTCTGACCCTGAGCCGTCAGAACTCCGCATTCACATGAAGCCTCAGACGTGAAAAACTGCCACCACCTCAGCGCCACTCTCATATGAAACCAAACTTGCATTCAAACATTTTCATACTAAGTGCAGGCAAACACCCCCGCAGTTAATGTCTAATCCCACATATAGACAGAGAGACTGAATTTCCTCACAGACTTTGCTGCGCAGGTCCCAGAGTTTGAGAGTCCGGTCATGACTTCCGGAAACAATACGCGCATTGTCCAGCAGGAACTTGGCCGAGAGCACCTTGCCGCTGTGTCCTGTGAGTGTGTGCTGGGAGAGAGAAAGCAGTGGGGTAAACCTGGGGCGGTACATGCCAGGAAGCCAGCACGAGTAGCTGGGGAAATGCCCAGGAAGCCTACCTATCTATAGGTGCTGCTCAGAGGCGAGGCATGAAGAGGATAGTCTCCACCACAAATAACATTAAAACCAAAAAACATCACTATACAAAGTTCACGTGCCCCACCCTCAAACACAGGGAGGGCAGGCTGAGAACTTTTTGAAACAGGCTCATTACAGATACCTTCCTGTACTGTTCTTGCATCTTTTTTGTAAGTCTGGATTATATCAAATCACAAAATGTTAAAAGTCTAGGTTTTAGCCAGTGCTTCTAAAAGTTCCCTCCTTAAAGTCAGAATAGACAGGTTCGCAGCAGGCACAACTCACAAAAGGAAACATCAGGCCTCTTTAAAAAAAACAATGAAAGCCCTGAGGGTTTTTCAATCAGAGGTCTCAGCTTAGAAGTCAGATCAGACCCACAGATACCACACTCCCAGCAATCACATCCCTTGGATACTGGCTGTAGGATGCCAACCATGAGTCCTCCCTGGGCTCGCCAAGGAACACAGACCTGGGACATCACCGAGTGTCAGCTGCCCCTTTGCCCATCAGAGCACTACTGGAGCCTAACGAGAGTGGGGTGGCTGGGGATGGCAAAGATACTGGGAGGGGACCTGGGAAGTCAGCCCTTTTACTGCTCATCATTGACCTCTTTTATGTTTGCAAAACCTCAAAGGCTCAGAAGGTATTCACTGATGTTTCCTTTCTAATTAAAAAAAAAAAAAAAAAAAAAAAAGCCTTAAAAAAGACCCTAATATATTTATTTCATTGGTAATGATGGGTTTCAACCCCACTCCCAAAGATAAGACCTCAGAGTTTTGTGTTTTTAGTGTTGAAGTTTCAGAATCCATCTTTCCTCTATGCTGTGTAGAGTGATTGCACTCAGTATAGGAACAGAAACTGCAGCCACTCCTACTTCTCCCTTTCTGAGGAGACATCTGCGCAGCCTCTCACTCACTCCTCATCCTGAAACCTCTCTGAAACAGGGACTGGTCTTACAAGTGTGCAAGCCATGTGGCAGCTGGGCTGTAGCAGTGTGGAAGCTGCCACTGATCCTGCTAGTAAAAGCAAGAAAGCCACAGCACCAAAGCTTACATTTAGTACAGTATAGGAACGCAACTCCACTCAGGACAACTCACCCGACCTGTACAAATCACCGGGGACAGGAAATCTGGGTGGGTACCTCTCATGCGATGCATTTAAGTTCTTAGTTCTGTGTATGCAAACTGCCTGTTTTCTTTCTTACTACGCAAGAAAAACGTTTCACAAACATACGGAGGAAAACGACATCACTCATGAATGGACTATGTGATGCATGCACTCACTTTTGCACACTTTAATATTTCCATTTATTTATGTTATTGCTGGTCTAACATTATAGTATAAGCAGTTTTTCATTGATAGCTGAAAGTGCACAAGCCCGAGCCACACCGATTTGGCTCTGCACAGCCTGGGTCACTAACTTAATCTAAGAAAGACGAATCTCTTCCACACGTTGGTTTAGCAGGATGAAACAAGGCACATGTGGACAGTGTTGAGTCTCCTTAAAAGTCTTCATAAATACTTTAGTAGCCGAACAACCTGCATGTGGTGAGATGACAGTTCAGCTGAAATTTCCTTGGCCAGCAGACACTTAAGTTGCTTTAAAAGTTTCATGATAACAAATGATGCTGCGATGAACACTAGGAGCGCACAGCTTTCTCTTCTTTCCTGGAATGAACTACTGGACTAATGGAATAAAGAAAAGGGGTACTTTTATTTCTTGGTCCTTCCTATGTATTGCTAGCTTGCTTTTTAAAGTCTGGATTGTACTACACCTGCTCTTGGTGGAAGCCCAGCGGGACCTGCCTGAGGCCAACTAGCTCCATCTCCATGTTTTTGATGGTATGGAAGTGAAACTCCTAGAAGCACTCACTTTATCACTTAAAAAGTCCCTTCTGAAGTAGATCAGATTTGTTAAAAATTCTTTTACCCATTCAGTGTTTTTGACATTTAATATTTAATCTTAAGACTACTTTTAGGTTTTGTATTTGTCTTTTTAACAAGGACCCATGAGACCGTCTGCAGTGGGTTCAGCTGTCCCAGCAGCCTGGGTGCTCTTCTCCAGTACTCTGTGCAGGCTCCAGTGGTCAGACCCCGAAGGCCGCCCACCGTGCAGGCAGCTACCATTCACATCAACCAAAGACAACTGAGCCCAGAAAAATAAAGGACTTGACAAGGAAGTTCCTGAAATAAGAACTACCATTTGAAAGCCAGTCCTGCCCATGGCTACTTTTCCACGTCACTGTCAGAGGAGTGAGCAGGGTGGGTTCTTCACCCCAGTTTAAGTCACATCTCAGAGAGCAGCCGGGCCAGCTGGCACTGACTTTAGATTTTAAGGGAGTCTAACATACCCGGTATTAAAAGGAGTCCTGTCATGGCCCCTTCCAGCGCCAGGCTGTTTCTAGTGTCCCTTTACTAAAGAGTTTTAAAGCAAGCACTCGCCCAGCTGCTCCCTGCATCCATTTGCTTATCATAAAAGTTGAGGAGCTACTGACCAGGGCTTGGAACTGAGTTTCAGAACATGGATGTCCATTCATGTCTTCCAACATTCTCAGTAACTAGGGTCTAAGTGGGAGCCACAGCACCTACAACAGGGAGCCCACTGGGCCCTGGTAAGAGTGTGGCATGTGAAAAAGGCTTCCTGATCTCTTTCTATGTTTACCTAGGGACAGGACACAACTGTGAGCAGACCAGAGGCCAAAGAGCCAGCTCATCCAGCAAGGGAGACAGTGACTCAGACACCAGCCCAGCTCTCAGCACCCCAGCTTGGGCTTGGTGCTCCAGCACCCTGACAGAACCCTCTCCAGTGAAACTCTGTCCACCTCTGCAAACCAGCGCACTTGAACTACCTTGCCTCCAGGTCCCCTCTTGTTATGTCAGACCCAAAGGTTGACACCTACCTGTACAGAACTCTACCAATTAAGAATATATCCTGCACAACTGATGGGACTCAACCGCATGTCGGTCTCCTCCCTCCAAGGGCCTCAAATGTAAGGAAGGCTGTAGGTCCCTCTTCACCAATTAAACACTTTGTTTTTTCTCAGTCTAGAATAATCCAGGCCAATCCAACAAAGGCAAGAGCACAGGCCTCAATTCCAATCCTCACCTGTTTATTACACGACCTTAGGCAAAGAGGATGAGTTTCCTCACCCAGCCACCTCAGCTGCCTCCCAGGACGACAGCAGTAACTACACAACACCCTCACTGCTGGGTCTAATGCACAGGCCACTCAAGACAAGCCCCTTTCCTTTAGGTAAATTAACAACTGTAGGTGCACGCAACTCTGGCTTAAATGTCCAACAGCGACAGGTGGTTAAAGAGTACAGCAGGCCACAGACGGGTTATAACGCTGCATGAGAACAGGCTGGGCATCTTTGCCATGTTCAGAGGCAGAACTATCGCGCTTCAGCTGAAAATGCGTCCAAGCATCTGAACAGACGTGGACTGTTGCTCGAGGAGAGGCAGGCCCTGCCTGTGAGCACCAGTCCACCTCCGCACCTTCACTCAGACAAGAGCATGGGCAGGCTCTTCAGCTTTCAGAGAACATAATCTCTGTCATCTTCACATCTCAGACTCTGTATGCGTAGCCCTGGATCTTCTTTCAACTAAGAGTCAAGAATTACCCCCCTTTCGTGATCTGCTAGCATCTAACACTGGCCATTTTCCACACAGCTCCTTGAAAATGGAGAGTCTAAGTGATCCATTCACTGTTTCTAATAATTCTTCTGGCTGCATTCCTGCGTCACCAAAACAGACCATCAACACTGCCTGGCGCAGCTGCCACCTCCCTGCATTCACCTTTAAGAAGTTCGTCTTGACATCCTGCTGGCTTCTGTGTGGGTGCACACAGAGCTGCTGTCAAAGTTTTTTTGTAAAATGCCCACCAATGTCAAGTTCACCTACATCTTACCTTTCAGTAGGCCTTATTTAATGAGCTCATGTGAAGACTCCTTCAAGCTTAAGGAGAAAAACCAGCCTCTGAATTAAGCTGCCTGTTTTTCATTAGAACAAAGGCGCTATAACCCTCAAGCTTTGGTCTTTATCTTGGAATCCACGAGACTTCTTGGCAAGTCTGGGTTCAGATGCAGATTTCCTCACTCACATCTGATCCCATTACTATCCCTTCCTCTCCACCTGACTCCTAGCAGCTGTTGTCTCTCTCACAGCGCATCCACGTGTACGTCTATATCTTACCTTCCAGCTCTCCTCTGTACAGTAATTACTAAGTCTTGGAGCCTGTCAGAAACACAATTTATATGCTGGCACTAAGGTCGCTGAAGCTAAGCCAAGACTGGCATTTATGAAAGTACCTCATCTTATGAACAGGAGTGTCTCGAGTCTTTCATGGAAATGTGAGGGTTTTCTACTGCAAACATTTTGAAACTGAATCTTGGACAAAGTGAAAATGGAAACACAAATTTCCCCAAGGAGGACAGCAAAGGGCAGGGGAGTCCAGTATGATTCTCAGGAAAAGACACACAATTCTCCTAAATGAACAGACCTGTAACTCCCTATGTGTTGTGCCTTGATAACCACGTGAAGTTGGGAGACAATAGTAGTTTTCCTAACTGGGTCTTACCCGTAACCGATAATCATCCACTGTCCAGATCCGGCTTGCAAAATCATTTGAAGCTGCTAAGAGGTAAGATCCCTATTGGAATAAAGGAGGGAAAATTTCAGGCAAAATAGAGGAATTCAATTTACATAATAAAACTCTCCAATAATCAAGTCCAAGAAGGTCTAGACATCTAAAACTACACTTGATCCAAATACCAACCATTACCACCAGTGTCTGCCAACTCATCCATTTCCGCTACATTCAGACCTTTCTCCTAAGCTTGCTCATCTTGCCTGGATGTCACAGACCCCACAGCTCAAAATGAACTTCCCTCCCGCTGCCCAACTTCAGTAACAGCAATTCTGTGCGTACTAATAAACAGAATTAGTGTGTACTGATTCCATACACACTGCCCCAGCCAGAGAGCCCACAGGAATCAACTCTCCCCGCCTGCCC